GAGCCTGACACCATCCAGGCTTAATCCTAGCTCTGGCTCTAGTTACAAAAGAAGCAGATGGGCATGAGCCTGCCACCATCCTGGGGGGGGAGGGACCAATCCTAATTCTAGTCTCAGTTATATCATGCATAGTAGTCACACACAGCAGGGTAAATTGGAAGATGTTTGTGTGAGCCATGTGTCGTGTTTCTGGAGTTACTTACAAACATCAAATCATTGCATCAAATTGCTGAAGATTTTACAAAATTTGTTATTCCCTTCTTTCAGTGCTGCAATCACAAAGATCCGCCATCTTGAAGAATCAATTTTCTTGATGAAGATGTGTGGGTAAGTAGTGATAGATTCTTTCACAAACCTCGGGGATATGTCAGAAGTAATGAACAGATTGCATATTTTACATGTATGTTGGGACTTTTATGTTGGTTTTTTATTTCTTCTGATGTGTTTTAATAGAGAAATGAGCAACACTGAATTCATAGGCAAAGGTGCTGTGAGAAAATCTTTCGAAAAATTGGGCAATTGAAAAAATTATTTAGCCCTAAAATAGCTGTTTTTCCCCAGACAATTGAACAGAACATTTTTTCAGACCATTTCATCCCCACTTCCCATTTTGAACTCGGCTTTCTATGGCCGATCTTTCTTCGACTTGACATGCATGTAGACACGTTCATTATGATCAGAAGAGAGAGAGGAAATGTCAATTTCATCCGAGGTATGGCCATGTTTGTTTCAGCTTGCATTCACATCATTTGGAAAAGTTGGCATTTTGGGCTGATGAGCTCTTTTGAAAAAATAGGTGTAGCACGAGAAAGGAACATGTCTGATATTAACCAAATTGGGATCAAAATGACTAAAAGATATTACTAGAAAATTTCCTTAAGGTTTGGTGTTTTAAAAATGCACTGTGAGGATATTGGAAGATAAGGAGGGGCAGATTCTAACTGCCCCCCCCCCCGGAGCTGTTTGGGTTCAGACAAATTAGTCCAACCTCAGTCATGACTACACAGTCAATACAAATTTTGTCTTTAATATAACAAGGGAATTGTTAGGTCCCCATCCTGGGTTCTCTCCTGATAATACAAGGTAATTGGCCAAGTCCCAAGGACCTCTTTTTAAATGCATAGCTACGATGAATTTTTCTTAAACACAAATTTTCTACACCTTTGTATCTTCTTTAATTGTAAGAAAACCCCTCTGCAATTCTATTTATCAAATATATTGAAAACAACTTGTTTTTAAAAATAGCCGTTAGCTGAACCCTTAGATTCTTTTATTTCATTCCAGCAACTGGGGGAATAGATTTTCTGAACAGAATCGAGTGCACAAATAACTAGCAGTGACAATTGTAAAAGTTCTCCACATGTTATCCTGCAGTTTTTAAAAATAATTTGGGTTGAAAGAGCGAACTGTTTAGCCATTGGGGAAGCTCTATGTACAAAATTCGCCACGTTTAAAAATTGTTCGTGAATGATGTAATCTGACCACATGATGCAAATTGTCCAATCCAAGACCAGAACGAAGGTCATGGGTCGTGACACAAAGCCGTAAACATGGAGACGTCCCGTGATGCGGATGGCATGTGCCTCAACGTCAACATTGATGAATTTCAGGTGTCTATTGCATGTAGAATCGGTCACATTTGAAAAAGTAAAAGCACTTACAAATGTCCCATGGAGAAAGTTCACTTCGTGTGCCAAAGAGTGGCTTGATTTATAAGGCAGAGATCGCGAAATCACCGAACCAACCGAGTGCAAGGGACATGTACATTGGTTTTCATGAGACACGCAACCGGAGTTGTTTAAAACTCCTGAATGCTGCTAGAAAACAAAAGTTACATGAAGATTCCCCCTCTGAAGCTTCATCTTCTTGCCCTAAAAAACTCTGGGCTGGATCAAGATTTTTCTTCTGGAAGATCTTCAAGACTCTCATGACTCTGGCATGTCTGGCGTGTTGCTTGTATGTTAACGTAAATGTATCACGGAGGAAAGTTGAGCAGTTCGTCACTCGACGTGGGAAACGTGTCAAGGATAAGCTGTTACAGGCAGAAATTTCTGGTGGAGGTAAGCTGCATTACAAAAAATCAGGCAAGGGCATGTGGATTGAAGTAGTTCTCGAAATTTAATAGTAATTTACAAATGTAGGTCTATGTTAGTATTTTAATTTTAGCCAATCATGGTCACCGTTGAAGCTATTCCTAGTAACTTGGACTCAACGAGTGGACCTTTCCCATGAAATATGCAAATAAGGCAGGAGCATGCACATTACTACCACAGGTTTGCAAAGTTGCTATAAATCTACTGACATAACAATACAAATCCCCATGCTGAAGTGTGACTCAATCTCTCCAGAGCTGGCAGCATGAAGCAGTAGACCCATAAACAAGGCCCCTCCTGGATATGGATACGTATATAGAAAAAGCTTCACCCACTGACACCCGCAAATTCCTTTGAAATGGCGTCCTGGGAATGGCTGGTCCCACAGGTGATGAACGTGCTGGTGGAATTCAGCTCATGAAATGTAGCAGATGTCAGTGGGTGAAACTTTTGAAAATTTGAAAGCTGTTTTATATATGCATTCAGGACTCCAACATTGACAGAGTACACAAAGAGCCCTGATGAAGGCTCCACATTAAGCAGCAGCCTTTATTTGGACTGATAACCGAGACAGCGCAGACAATCATTCCGAAAATGTCTGGCAACAAATAGCATTTAACAAAATGATTATAAGACAAAGCGCACAAGCAAGATGGTTCAAATTTCTCTTTACTTTCTTTTCCAGGAATGCTTCGTCAAGCAGTAGAGAGCAAAAGAGACGAGAATGTTTTGATACACATTTGGGACAAAGATTGTCGCTCTGGAGGTTCAATATCGCACCTCTTGTTACAAATCATACACTCAGTTCCTGACAAGGAAAAGCAAGGACCCTGAAGGGTAAGCCGTAGACAATATTTGATTGATGTGTGTTCCTATTTTTACTTGGGTTAAAATATCTCCTTTATTTGGGGGAAAATGAAACAATTTTGGCCTCGTGTCTTTCAGTGCCCATTATCATAATGATAGGCTCCTTTAAAAATGAAGGTCGTGTTCGTAATTCTGGTGAATAATGCTGACAATAGTGAAGGAAATCATTGTTATATTTCATTCAAAACTCTGTTTTGGGACAGTGATCAAGAAGCATGACAAAACTGACCTTCAATCTCACCGTTATGATTGGTTGACAATATTCAAATTGCCCAGTGCTCACAAAATTGACTTTTTATAAAATGTTCAAATCAACAACTACTGTACATGTATTGATATTGCATTTGTAAAGAGAAGGTGTTGCATAGGCAGTGTCTGATGCCTACTCTTAAGCTAAGAATATTTATACATGGACATCAATAGAAGTTAAAATGAGCTGTTGGAGGATCATGTGCATGATCTATCTCATCAATTCATTCTTTCTTCTGCTCCAGTCATTCCATAGTAACTCTTGTTTTCTTCAAATATTCACCCACCTAATTTTAACTATTTTTCTAATACAGAAGTGGCTAAAAAGAGATTATCCTGAGCTCCGACAAATTTTTTTGGGGAAACAAGTGTGAGATTGTCAACTCCTCCACATTGTCATCAAGAGGTGTGGCCGAATCTCTGGACACTTCAGAAAATGATTCATGAACCGACACGTCTGACTTGGAAACTGGTACAGATGCTCCCACCTCTTCATACACTGTTTAAGGACAAAATGACTCTGTACTTGATGATTTTTGATTGATAGTAATGAGAAAATGCTCCAGGGTTCCAATTCGCAGCTCTCTTCAGTGCTGTCTTTTCAAGAAAGCACAAAGCATCTAGATTTCGTAGCTGTCCTGTTCATCATTAGAGTTGTTTCCTTTACCTTTGCATTGTGCAATTTTATTTATAAAAATAGCATTACATCTAAATTAAATGTGCTCTTTTGATACTCAATTTAACTAACCAGTGAGATTAACCTTTTTGGGACATTTTTCTAAATTCCTTGTTTCATAGTATGGCCCGTTCCAGATAATCACACCAAAGTCTGAATTAGTCATTTGATTTGGAATTGGATGTCATTTTTAGCACCGAATGTTTGGCTCTAACAAACGGGGCCTCAGAAACTTAATTGCATTATGAGTACATTGAGTGAAGTTCAGTGCATACATTTCCACTGCTGTCAGCAACTTATTACATTTTCTTCTCCATGTTGGATATCATAGCCCACCGGTATCTGTATTGAACAAAACTAACTCTCCTTTGGTATTTTATTTTTTTATTCTAGTAAGCCAGGGCCGTTTTCCAATACTCAACTTCGGCTCTGTCTCAGGCTTCAACTGTTTTTTTTACTACCTGACTTTGAAGCTGTAAACGCACCAATTAGTCTAATAGTGGTACAAAACACTATAAGATGCAAGAGAGCAATAACTTGCAATCCAATTTGATTTAAATGCTTCAGGCTCACAATCGGGGATTGGTTTCAGGCACAAAGCCTGAGACGGAGACGAAGTTGAGTGTTGGAAAACAGCCCAGATTGTGAAATATTTTGAGACCAGAAGAACAATGGTGTTGTCTACCAGATCAAAAATATTTGGGAAAAAGATAATAAAGTCTTTCTGCGGTGTCACCTGACAAAAATCATGAGCTGTCTTTTCTTAATTTGTCGCATATATTCATAATACAAATCAAAATTTATAACAGTGAAGGATTGACATAATCGCAGTTCTCTAATTTTGAAGTTGGAAGAGCCCAAACAAAGCCTACCCCTTCCAGCCTACATATGCAAATTTCCCATGTGCCTATTACAATTCGCTGAAAAGACTTGATTATGCATGCTGCCCCCTGACCCCCCACAATGCAATGCGGGCCCGCCGCCATGTTCATCCTTCTTTTCTCAGTGCCTTTAGTTTACGGATGTGTCTTTTATGACTCCTCAAATACCTTTCGTGCTATTGAATTGACTTGATTCCTGTTATGAAATAAAGAGTGTTTTCTTGTCTGTTGGTAACAGTGCTTATTTTCTTATTTCGTTTCTTACATGCTATGTTTTCTTGTGGTCTTTTCTGCTCCCCTTCTTTGTGCATCATATATTGGTTGGGTTGTGACCTACCGTGATGTGTTATGTGGGTATGGCCATTAAAGGGTTGGAGGGCCCTTTGCTCACTATGTGGTGCGTGCGTTCAAACAATAATGGCCCAACGCAGTTCAGGTGTGGACACGGAGCGGGGCTTGGTGAGCTGCCCGCTTCCCTGTGGTGCGGTTTTGCGTTTTCCGATTAGCGGCCTTGACCAGGAGACACCCGAGTAGGCCGGGGCTGAGGCACCCCGGGCCTGAATTGTTACGATCAGGAGTACCGCGAAACCTGATCAGATAACCTCCTTGACTAGAGAGAACCAGAGTACTGCAACTCCTGGATCAAAGCAGCCTCTATAGATCAGGCGGACCGAAGTACCGCGAAGCCTTTGATCTCTGATGACCACTACCAGGACTGATCGGGCTGAGGGTGTGGTTCCGTAATAAAGCCCTTGATCACTGATGACTACCACCCACCTACCCACCACCGAGCCAAGCCTGCTGGTCTTCTTGCATCGTCTTCTATACTCACTCCCGGTGGCGCGGCCAAGCACTCCGGGGGCCCGAGGTGGCGGGCCCCGAGGCTACACCTATTCATCGGGTTGAGCTTCAATGCCTTTGATCACTATCGTTGGGAGAAATGAGCCGTCCCTTTTATGCTTCAGGTTCCGGGCATTCCTACCTACTGCATCCCTGGACGGCTCTACTGACCGATGGCTCTTCGGGGCCTGCGGGGCGACGGTCTGCCATCTGCCCCAGGCCTTTCACCGGGCGACATCTGCTCGGAAGAAGAGACGCCATTCCCAGCCGGATCCGCCTCCGTGGATGGCGACTCTCCAGTCTCTTTTGGAGGCCTTCCTCGTCCAAGGTCAAGAAGAGACGCCATTCCCAGCCGGATCCGCCTCCATGGATGGCGATTCTCCAGTCTCTTTTGGAGGCCTTCTCGTCACTCACGCGTAAGATAGACTCTAAGCCTCAGCCAGCAGCGACGGCACCTGATCCGGATCCTCTCCCAGCCGTTCTGCCTCCTTCTGAGTCCGGGGTGACTTCTGTCCGTCCAGATCTGTCTCCCCAACAAGTTCTGGTGCCGAACCAAGCCTAGACTCAAGGCGATCTGCCTCCCTCCGAACTTGGCTTTCAACCCTACTCTTCTGAGGATGATGACATCGACTCAGTGGCTGGTCTGACTCAATCGGAAGGCCGCCTCTGCATCCTTCAATGTGACATGATCCATGTTCTTGGGCTCCCGTCATCGGATCCTGCGCTGACAGATTATAAACNTGATGACTACCACCCACCTACCCACCATCGAGCCAAGCCTGCTGGTCTTCTTGCGTCGTCTTCTATACCCACTCCCAGCGGCGCGGCCAAGCACTCCGTGGGCCCGAGGTGACGGGCCCCGAGTCTACACCTATTCATCGGGTTGAGCGGATTTCCCGCATCAATGCCTTTGATCACTATCGTTGGGAGTAATGAGCCGTCCCTTCCTTTTATGCTTCAGGTTCTGGGCATTCTACCTCCTGCATCCCTGGACGGCTCTACCGACCGATGGCTCTTCGGGGCCTGCGGGGTGACGGTCTGCCGTCTGCCCCGGGCCTTTCACCGGGCGACATCTGCTCAGAAGTCAAGCCAGTCAACAGTGGGCTCCACAGAGGCCCCACAGCGGGATCGCCACGCTCCACCGCTTCAGTCACGGGAAGCCTACAACCCTGTATGCTCTCCAGCCTCCTGTTGCCTCGGATGGTGCCCCTTCTGGGCTGTTACGTCATGGGGGTTTCCGTCGGCAACAGCTCATCCACAGCTCCAACCCATTGGTGAATTCCGGTTATTAGCCTACTGATCTTGATCTCGGACATTCTTCGCAAGAGACGACCGACCTTTCGGGGTATCCTTGCCTGGCCCTTCCTCTGCCTGTGCCGGCCTCCAGTCCCCCCGCTTCAACAAAGGCCAAGAAGCGCAAGGCCAAGTCATCCTCCTCGGCTTCTTCCTCGTCCAAGGCCAAGAAGAGATGCCATTCCCAGCCGGATCCGCCTCAATGGATGGCGACTCTCCAGTCTCTTTTGGAGGCCTTCTGGTCACTTGCCCGTAAGATAGACTCTAAGCCTCAGCCAGCGACGGCGCCTGATCCGGATCCTCTCCCGGCCGTTCTGCCTCCTTCTGAGTCCGGGGTGACTTCTGTCCGTCCAGATCTGTCTCCCCAACAAGTTCCGGTGCCGGACCAAGCCTCGACTCAAGGCGATCTGCCTCCCTCCGAAATTGGCTTTCAACCCTACTCTTCTGAGGATGATTACATTGACTCAGTGGCTGGTCTGACTCAATTGGAAGGCCGCCTCTGCCTCCCTCAACGCGACATGATCCATGTTCTTGGACTTCCGTCGTCGGATCCTGCGCTGACAGATTATGAACTTGCNTTCATTCTAGTGCCACCCTTCATGCCTTGAGTCAGCTGAGCTGTCTTTCCAGAGATTCCCTGGACCGTTCTTTTGTGGAAATGATGACTGCCCTGGTGAAGAATAAACGCTGGGACGCATTCCTGCCCAGAGCTTCATCTTATTACCGGTTTCCTCGGGAGGATGTCTCTCGCTTCCTGTCAACCCCAGATATTCCTGACGCTGCCAGAGACAAGATTTCGTTTGAGTTTAGCAAGGCAAAAACCTTCTGGGATAAGGACAAAGCTGCCCTTCACCTGTCCCTCTGTTGCGTTGATACGGCGTCCTGCTTTGGCTTCTGATGTTCGGCCTTTCTTGTCCTTCTGTCAGAGTATATTGCCTAGGCCTGTGAAGAAGACTCTCCAGTCTCTCCAGATTTGCGGCCCTAGCTTTACGAGGCCTTGATGAGGAACTTAATTTGATCTTCAAACAGTTCACTCGCATTTCCATTCTGGCCTCTTGTACCCGCAGATCCAACGCGGTAGACGCCATGGATATCCCCTATGGGTCCGTCAAGAATAGGCTTATGGGCCTCCCCCTTCTGGGGGACGATCTCTTTGCTGGGAAGTTCACCGAAGTCCTTGAGTCAGAGGTAAAACGTATGGAGACTGCTAAGAAAATCTCACTTCCTGAACCTGCACCTCCAGCACCGTCAGCCTCCACCGTGGCCAAGAAGATGAGCGAACCAGGCACCACCGGCTGCTCGTCCCTTTTGCCGTCCACTCTGGATGGCTACTCATTCATCAGCCCCGCAGCGAGCCCCTCCTACATCGACTCCCAAAAGTTTTTAGCCGTGCCCTCCCGACCGGGGTTCTTCATGAAGTTCTCCGGTCCTATCGGGGGACGGCGTCGGTGACTACTTCGTTTGCCTTTGGCGGCCGCCGATCCTAAACCCGTCGGCGGCCGCCTGGGCAATTCATCGGGTTCTGGCGGGAAATCACCGCGGACAGCTGGGTCCTCTCCACCATTGCTCATGGCTACTCTGTCGAGTTCACAAGCTCCCCGCCGTCCAGGATGGTCTTCCACTCCACACCTCCTCCATGTGACACACTCAAGTGCCTGGCTCTGGGGGAGGAGATTGCAGCGTTGTACGCAAATGAGCCGTCACACTGGTGCATCCGAACCAGCTATCCACTGGCTTCCTTTCGTCCTTTTTCCTCGCACCCAAAAAAGACCCGGAGAAAATGGCGACCAATAATCAACCTGAAACCACTCAATAAGTTCATGAGGCCAAGGCGGTTTTGAATGGAGACTCTGAGCGTGGTCCTACCCTCTCTACCTGTTCTGTGCTGGGCCACCTCAATAGATCTACAGGATGCATATCTTCATATCCCGATACACAAGCAACACCGCAAGTATCTCCGCCTCAAGTACTGCGACCGGACCTTTCAGTTTCGGGCCCTTTCTTTCGGTCTCTCAACATCACCAAGGGTCTTCACCAGGATCGTGAAGACTCTTGCCGCCTACTTACGACAGCGCGACGTCTGTACTTTTCCGCAACAAACACATCAACCTGCTGGAACTTCAGGCAGTATTCAATGCCCTTTGTCACTTCCAGCAGGACTTAGTGGGTCTCTGGATTTGAATCCAGAGCAACAACTCCACAGTGGTAGCTCACGTAAACCACCAAGGTGCTACTTGCTCCCCCCAGCTACGTGTCCTTATGTGGCAGATCTTCATGTGGGCAATCGATCAAGGGATCACTCTCCAGACCGTTGACATACTGTGAATGTCCAACAACATAGCAGACACTCTCTCTTGGGGTGCTGTCCACCCTACGGAGTGGACTCTACATCCGAGTCTGGTCACCCAAATCTTTGCAGAGATCAAGTGCCCCCATGTCAACCTCTTCGCATCGGCCGACAATACCCATCTTCCGACGTTTGCTCCAGGTTTCCACACCCACAAGCTTGGGCGACGGATGCTCTTCAGGTGAATTGGTCCGGCCTTCTGGTGTTTGCCTTTCCTCCAATATCCCTCATTCCCCAAGTCTTATCCAAGATAGAACAAGAACCATGCCAGATTCTCCTCATCGCCCCGTTCTGGCCTTGATAACCGTGGTTCCCGAGACTCACAAGGCTCCTGGTTTGTTGACCACTGATCCTTCCACACAGGCAGGATATTCATTGTCAACCCAGATCAGGAATCCTCCATCCAGCCCCGAGCGATCTTCACTTGACGTGTTGTCCAATGATCGCTCAGAGCGTCAGACCTTGCTGCAGATGCTGCGTCCATGGCGGCACGGGGCCGACGACTCTCACCACGCAAAATTTACACCAGTTAAATACACCATTTTGCAAGATGGTGTGGTGACCACAATGTTTCTCCGACCGAAGCATCTGTAAGCTCAGTTGCGGACTTTTTCATGTATCTCTTTGATTCGGGGCCTCCAGATCTACTATCCGCAACTACCGGTCGGCCCTGGCAGCTGTTTATTCAGGGTTCAATGATGGATCAACAATTTATCACTGCCATCCACCATCTACTGTATAATGTTTGTCGAGCATCCTCACGTCAAACGCCTTGTTCTTTCCTGGGACCTTGGCAACGTCTTGCCCGTTCTCGAACCGCTGTCCGATGCATCTGATCTCCATCTTTGCATCAAGCTGGCATTCCTCCTGGTGGTCGTTACCTCCAGACGTGGCAGTGAACTGTATGCCCTGTCAACTGCTGAAGGTAACATACGCTGGGAGCCGAACGGAGTTCGTCTTATCCCAGCCATCAAATTCCTGACAAAGAACCAGACGCCTGTCTTCTGGCCTCCGGACATTTTCGTCCCTGGCATAACCTCTCTTTCGGCAGATAGCTCCAACAAGAAATGGTGTCTGGTTCGTACCCTCAAATGGTATCTCGCGAGGACCAAGCATTCCCGTGAGACTGGTTTCAGACTTTTCATCACAACCATAAAACCCTTTCATCCAGCGGCGAAGGACACCGTAGTTCGTTGGACATGACGAGACGACTCGATCTCACATCAGAGCCCATGATGTTCGGGCCGCCTCTGTGTCCTGGTCGTTCTTGAGAGGTTTCTCCTTGGCGGACATTTGCAAGGCGGCTTGTTGGAAATCTCCTTCCACCTTCACCGAGTGCTACCTGAAGGATGTCCTGCGGAGTGAGACGACTCACGGCGCAGCAACCTTACGCTCAGCGATTGGGACAGCATCCAGTGCTGTCCCTCACCGAACAAAGAATTCCTTATCGTAGATGCTATTCCTTTGCTCTAAAATAGTGAGTGTTCGCTTGAGTAGCGCCCGCCTATGTTCTCTTGTAATTACTCTCCCGTCGCTGACCGTCCTCCGAGGTACGGTGCTACTCTGCGTATGTAGGCTGGACAGGGGTATGTGAACGCAGGAGACTCCTCCCCCACATAAGTGTGGGTCAGGTCTCCTAGTGATACTTACTTTTTCCAGCTGCTCCCGCCCATCCTTCCCCACTTTGACTCCCGGGAACTTCTCCACTTCGAAAAGAAGGTTGAACATGGCAGCAGGACCACATTGCATTGTGGTGGGTCAGGGGGCAGCATGCATAATCAAGTCTTTTCAGCGAATTGTAATAGGCACATGAGAAATTATCACTAAGTAACTATCACTAGGAGACCCGACCCACACTTATGTGGGGGAGGATTTTAGCATACATGCACAAGACTATGGCAAACTTTGAAATGGTGTTACTAAAAAAACTGCAGGATTTTTTGGAGAACTTTTGAATAACGTTTGGGATGTACAGAACCTCACATTTATGCATTCAGAAAGTATTCCCAGCATTGCTGAAACGGAATCCATTTTTACAGCCTGTTCCTAAGTCTCAGCTGACGGCCTAATGGTTGAAGTTATTCATGTTTCCCTCGACAACTGAGGGTGCTGTTGCTTGAAGTCATCTACAGAACACATACATGTAGGTGTTTCAAACTGTGGATGCAGAGTTTACCCACTGAAAACGTTTCTGAGGCGAAAGGATTTATACTTCCTTGTTGCTATGCACATAAACAATAAATCGACAAAGAAGGGAAAATGGAGTCCAGTAACATCTACAAATTGGCAGGATTTGTGTACAAAGCATTGAGGTTTTCATCCTGTGATGACATCACAGTTCTGCTCATTAACCCTAACCCCCTAGGGTGTATGTAAAATCGTATTGAAATTGGAGGATTTGGAACTGTTAGGGTTAATATAGAGATACTCGTCATTAGCATAAAAACCAAAATAGGTGGTAAAATACCCTGTGAAATAGTAAAAATAAAATTGAGAAGATTAACTGAGACACAAAGGTGCATTCAAAGAAATTGATTGCAGCTACCTTTAATGAGGTGGGAGTACTTTATTGAAAAACATTTCAGCTATTCCTTAATCTTGTCATTCAGTTTTCTCAATAATCTGATGTAATGACAGTGGAATGTAGCCGTTGGCAAATGTTACTAAAATAATTTTGCTGGACACATGCACAGTATCTTTTTTTCCTGACATAAAAATTCACACATGGGTCTGCACGAACAAAATCATCGTGACTTCTCATAATTTCAGTTTTCTTTCCCTTTAATAAAAAACATTTCCAAAGCTACAAATAATAACATGAAAAAGTAACACTCTGTTCTGAAATGTTGGAGTCAATTTAAAAATAACCATAAACATTCTTCATTTTCTGGGATGAGAAAGGATGACAGCTTTGGATTGCACTCAGCCAGCTGGGAGTGTATGTTGTGGTTTTAGATGTGCACGCTATTCACCAGACTACCAAACATAGTTTGAATTTTGTGATAATCTGATGATCTTTATGGGCTTAATTATGTAGGACAGAGGGCGCTGTCTACTCGTAGCCTACTTAATACTGTTAGTTAAATTTGCCGACGACTAAACATCCACTGGCCTACATGTATGTAATACATCCTGACACACTCTTTCTTTTTTTCTTGTTCCTGTAGGCAAAAATCAGAAGCGAGGCCGAAGTGGTTCCCGTCTGCTGTGGTCTTAGCCGGGGCATCCCTCGACAATCCTAGACAGCACAGACCAGATGCTACAACGCTCAAAGATTAGATTTTCAGAAAAAAAGTGTAGAGATTATCTTCGGATGGTAAACATAGTTTCAGGCTTTTTGTCGTGTTTAGAACAGTTTTAGGCTTTTGGAGCAGGGAATATGAGTAGATTTTTTTAGTTGAACATGTACAACTTTTTTTTACACAACAAACCCATATTTTAGAACTACTTTACAGGGTGTGTTTTTGTCTAGAAAGAAATCAAGCATATTTTAAGTTACTTTTTCTTAATGTCATATCTGAATAAATAAAAATTACAAAGCATAAGACAAATTGTTCACTCAAGTGGAGACATTTGAAAATGTCCATCATACGTACTGTTCATGATTGCAAAAAGTAATCGCTAATTAAGAAGTGAAATAGGACTCCAAAATTCTTGAGAATCCTGGAGGAATTAACTGATTTTGTACCATTTATTGCTTTTTATTTTTTCCCAAATTTTCAAGATTTTATGCATAATTTTCATTGGATTGTAGGAACTTCTTATTCAAAATAAGCAGGTACATGTACTTGTAATGCCCATCATGTTCCTAGAAAGTATCTAGCAAGATAGACTTGGAGGCTTGCTACCAATGCTGAAAAAAGTAAAAAAAAAAACAAACTCAGACACCCTGAAATTTCAGTCATAGCAGAATCTCATACAGTTGAATTTGTTGTGAAAAACGTATTTTACATGTAGAAATGGATATTTTGAAGAGGTTTGAATATAGGAAGGCTTGTAAATATATTACGAATCTACGACTAATACTGATGAATATGCAGATCCTGAATATTTTGTGTATTCTGTCTTTTGGTATATTCAAATATTCTGCCTTTGTTATTCAAATACATGCAAATGAGCTGTGCCCTCTGACCTTTTTTTGAAATTGCGCAATCCTAACCTTTAAATATAAGTTCCGAAATTATTTCTATCAAGAGGCCTACGGCCTGGTGGTTAGCTTGCTGGCTGCCAGGCCAGGGGACCCCGGTTCAAATCCCGGGGTTCCCGGAAAAGGAGGTTTTTTTTTTTTTTTTTTTTATATACTAAGTTTTTTAACAAAATTGTGCATGCCCACCTGGGATTGAACCCAGGTCCTTGTGCATTGCAGTTAGTGTCCTTAACCC